GAATATAGTATACTGTAATTCATAATCGGGAACCCCCCCCGAAACCCTATTCTAATTATTACGGCCCCTACATTAAATGTCAAAGTCTCTTGCCGAACGAGCTGATACAAGCCATCCCCAAATGTGTGAAGAAACCAGCAAACTTGGCCGTTGCAGGGGTTTAGGGTTTAGGGTTTAGGGTATAGGGTTTAGGGTTTAGGGTTTAGGGTTTAGGGGGGCCTGCAATCGCAAGAGCCGCAGGAGCGGTGGAAGCTGACACTAAGCAGGACATATCCATGACCCTCCTTGTACCCTCAAGCATAGGGGTATGTGGTCCCAAATAATGGATACTTAGGGTCTAATAGAGGGTAGATGGAGGGTCTAGGATAGGTCTCGTTCTATCATGGCGTTTGGTGTGAGTTGCTGGATGGTATAATGCACGACACTGTTCATAAGAAATGAATGCCCGCACTTTTTGGTCGTCTCACAAGTTGACCACGTGACAACATTAAGCATATGCGGGCTTGTATGTAAAGCCACCATTTCGAATTTTCAGCCAGGTGACTAGGGCATCTCTGTCCTCATCCACCTCCATCTCACAGGGTAGACCTTAAGCCCTGATCCCGAACCCCTAAGTGGCAGACGTTATGCTGGCTCTGAGACGGTCGACGGTAGGTGCCAGGACGAAAGCCACAGCAGGATAAGCCATCAGCGGTTTACGGTCTAGGGTTTAGGATAAGAGCACCACAACTCCAAGCTAGACCCGATTTGGCGACGCAGACTTCGCGGGAATCGTCTTTCACCTCCAGCACCCGAAGCACTGACTCCATGCCCGTCGAAAATCTCCCTGCAGGGAGCAGCTCACATCTCTGACGAACAGTTCGCGAGGGCACTCAGAGGTGCACGTTCGAGTTTTTTCTGGGCTTTGGGATTTCCTGGCTGCTATAGGGGCCTCCATAATTGCCAATACATTATTGTGGGGGTTCCTATATTATAGTCGAATATACCCCAAAACCCTAAATATATCCCAAAACCCTATTCTTATTATTGAGGCCCGTCTATGAATCTCCTCAACCCTGACCACGGAAGGTTTGGGGTCACACGCAGGGCTTGAGCGCTATAGGGCCTTGAGGGCTTAATTAGGGTTTAGGGCTTTAGGGCTTTAGGGTTTAGGGTTTAGGGTTTTAGGGTTTAGGGTTTAGGGTTTAGGGTTTAGGGTTTAGGGTTTAGGGTTTAGGGTTTTCAGGGCTTCGGGTGTGAGGATCTTAGGTGTCGCGCGAGGAGGGTGTAAGGTGTGATTCGTGTTGGGGGCTTTGTTGGGCGCGCTCTAGGTCTTGTATCCCCTCAACCCTGAACCCTACCTACCGTCTCCATTGTAGCCCTTTTTTTGGTTTAACCAATTATATATTAAGGATTCTATGAGGCATCCCTAAAAAGGAACTACAATGGAGACTATAGGTAAACCCCATAAGCCCATTTAGACCCCTAAACCATTCTCACGCCAAACGCTGCACCCTCTCGTCCGGGTAGAACCCGAAAGTTAGATCCCAAACCTTGCCGCGGCCCTGAACAGTCAGCGACATCCTTGGCACAGCGGTTCTCTTTGCTGGAAGGCCGCATAGGGGGTTAGCGGTTGGGATCTCATTGTCACAATTGCTGTTTTGTGATTCTTCTTACTACCACATTTGTGTTATGTCGGAACTGTGTTTGTGTGTTTGTTTGTTTGTCTGTTTGTTTGTTTACTGCTATTTGTGGTAGTTGTTATTGAAGCCCTCGCTGGGCCATTCATTATAAGTGCTATGGTATAAACGGTATTTGTGTTCGTCCTATGCTGGTTGCTGATGGCTTTTTATTGATAGTAGTATTGCAAGTACTGTTATGTTTGCTAGTTTTATTTCGATTATCACTACTATCATTATTTTACTGTTGTTATGTTGTTCTTATTCCAGATTATTCTTATCATTATTTTGTACTGTGTGTAGTAGCACTGTTTCACGGAGCTGCCGGGGGGTCCCCCTGGGGGGGGTCCCTTTGCTATCCAAGCATTATCATGAAGTTTGAGGATAAGTATAGGATAAGCAATGGATAGTGAAGGTTTGTATTATCCGGGGTATCTGTATTGCTTGATTTGCCTGCATGCTGAGGGCAGCAATTGCCTTGTTTGCAGGTGTTCAGCTTACAATGGAAGCTTCAGAAAACCCAGCGCTTCAGAACCCCCCTAGCAGCTAAGCTCGCAAAGACCCTAAACCCTGAACCCTAACCCTGTACCCCCCTAAGCTAAGAAAAAAAAAGCAGTGGCGGTGTGTCGGCATCGGTTTTGTTTAGGCAGTGGGTTGGACTTTCCAAGGTATATAGCTTCAGGATTCCAGTTGACATAGATGGCCTGACACAATTAGCAACTGAGCGATGGCACATGTGACAGCAGAACGCCAGCTCCGATGTGGCAACGAGATTGTTCCTGTCTGGGAAGTCCAGGCCAAGCAAGGGTTTTGAGTGTTCCGCCCCCCCCCTCCCTAGATCATTGTGCATGCAGGGGCGGCAGAAAGAATGGACCATTGCATACATCTTGAAGTACATCTATCAAGACAGCGAACGTCCGGCACGGGAGGACGTGAAGGAAGCCACTAGATGTGCTGCCAGACGCCGGAAACTGAAGAAGGATTTTTTCGAGCCGGATACACTAAACCATGTTCGTGAGTACCATGCACAGATATGGCCTGGCATTGACATGCCAGTGGTTGGGCCTGATGCGGATCAGCTGCTTAAGCTGCCCGAACGAACCGTTCCAACATCAGTCTTGATAGCTATGCTGGCTTGGCAGCTGGGTCATGATGGTAAGCGATCGCAGACACAGGCACGTGTTCATGAGGTGCTAAAGTACCTGTTTTCGAGCGTCTCTCAGCGAGGGGTGTGGTCGGTGCGATTGCCAGAGATGCGATTCTTCCAAGTACAAGATATTGAGATCAATGTCTCAGGGCACATGCTTGGTGATGCTTTGTGGGGCAGAGGGGACTGCCCCAGGAGGGATTACTTCGTGCAAAAGTGGTCCAGGGCCTTGGAACATTGTTCTGCATGAAGCAGGTTTGCAACCAGTGTGCCATTGTATGTTTTGGAGTAAATTGCTCTAGCTGGTAGCGAGCTAATGCCGGCCGAGGATGATGCAAAGCTTTCGCTCGTGTCCTCCCCCAGCCACACCCCCCATGCGGTGGACTTTGTAGCCTTCGCTTTCTCGCCGAAGTGACCAAACCAGCATTTGTCGTGGAAGTGTCTTGTTTTAGAAAGCCGTTGTCGTTTGGAGCATTGTAACATCGCAGAATCTCGCAGACAAGGTCCGATCTTGGGGAGGAGGAGCAACGAGTTGCCAGAGGTGTAGCAGCTAGCTTGCTCGCACAATTCGCGAAGCGGTTGGACACTCTGCGGGCAAGCATTGAGAACCGATTACCATAGCTATAATCCTGGGCCCCTGCATTGGAGTTCAGTCAAGGATGATGTTTGTCTGGACGTGGCGAAGGAGGCGGAGCAGATGCGGCATATGCCTCGTCGGCGAGTTCCACTTTCCAGTTTCGTGGAGTCTGTTCGCAAACTACGACACGGGGAGGTTTGGCTGCTAGCAATTTCAGCTTTGTGTTGTCGCTGTGTGGGCAAGACTTTGTGAGGGGCTTGCACCTGTCCCGTAGGCATCGCTCATCAGCGGAGCTCAACAAGACTCCGTGAAGCTGGATGTGTCAGCCTTCGCACAGAAAGCCATGGTAGCTTGGTAGTGAAACAGGGCTGGTTTGCAAGGGTAACTTCTTGACTTCTTGTGTGTGAGTGTGGCTTGAGGTCCCGTACATTGAAAGGATGCGAGCAGAATTTCAAGATCAATGTGTCTTCCACGTCGTGTCCTGAAGGTGTTGTGCATATATGTTGCATATATACATAGCCACGATGTGAAAGTTGTGCTGAAGGTGACCATGGATGGCAGCAACGTGGCCAAGGTGCCGACGGAGTGCTTCTGGGTGTTTTGTTCCGGGCTTAGGTTTCTGAGGAGGAATCTATGTATTCAAGTTTCACAAAGTTCTCGTCCTGAGGCCCTTGGAAGGCTCTTGGCGGGTTTGGACCACCGCTGGCCAGAGCCTTGCATTGCACATCCTTTCTTGGGCGATGGCATGCGGTGTCGATGTACTGCGAATGTCGGCTCTAGTAAGCTGAAGCCATGCAAGCTTGCCGCACATGAGGAATAGCTCTCAACATCAGGCTTGTACAAGGGTGTTGCAACAGCCCTGCAGGCAAAACGACGATACAGGGCCCCGAGTCCTTTCGAAGCCTGCTGTAGGCTGCCTAGTTGTAGCTGCCCCCCAATGCGACGGTCGTTTTCCTTGCTGTCTAGCTCCTTGGAGACAGTCACGGATCAGTCTCACGTGCTTCTCCAGCCGGAGGAGGACTTCCTTGGTCTACAGCTGCAAGCAGTCGCAGCATGTCGTATGGAGCTCTGAGCATTCTGTGGCCTTATGAGGAAATCTAGGTCACTGTAGTTAGTTCGTGATCTCCCAACAGAAATCTGAATCTGGGCAGGACCCTGCTGTCGTCGAACGGGAGAACAAGCTGGGCCAGCGATGCCATGCACTGGAGGCGGGCAGGTAGGTGCAAGCTGGACAGCTGACCAGCCAGCCTTGGTTCGATTGCGATGTGGAAGGAATCCTGGGCATGCGTGCTCGAGCATATGCAGCCCGAGAAGGTTAGAGCCCCTTAGCTTGTAAAGCAGCTCCGGGTTGCACTCGTATCTTTGCCTCGGCTTGCTCAGGAATCTTATCTGGGGCTGGCAGGGCCACTTCGCACTTCCAGTATGTGCACAGGAGTGTATACAGCCGAGATGGCCTTGGCCATCTTGGCCAATGTTGTCAACCGTTCGAAAGCACTGCCTAACAAGTTCGACTTCCAGTGCTTGGCTGTGTGGGTCAGGGTCTGAGATCGTGCTCAATGTCCGAAAGCCTGGTAGCAGCTGCAGCCTTAGTCTTAGTAAGCCCGACAGCACTGCCTAGGAAAAGTCGAAACAATGCTGCCAGAGCATCATTGACAACCACCACTGGGTACAGCGGGCTGTTGAAGGAAGGCACACCCAGCCTTGCATGTTCGCAGACGTCCTGACTTTGTGTCCATCCGGCACATTCGATGCCAGGGACAGCCACCTGCACAAATAGAGTCAGCTGTGTTTGCTCTGGAGGGGATTTAGGGGGGGGGGGGTACAGCTCTTGGAAATCTGGAGGGTTGTAGCATGCTCCGTGTTACAGATCAGGTCTACTGAGTACATGACATGTGTAAGCACACACACACACACACACACACACTTTAGATCCCCGGCATATGAGGCTTCGGTGAGAAGCGGCGGAAGATCTGGAGTGCCCCCACGATTCAACAGCAGCCGTGCCTGACACATGCACGAAGCTGTGATGTTCCCACAGTGGACTTTGACTTCAGCAGCCCCCCTGCCACTGACAACTCGCGACTCCAGCTTCAGCGATCGTGCTTCGAGAGCCACTCCGGGGCTTTGTTTGCTGTTTGGGCTTTGCGGCTGCGGCGCTATGGGATTCCTTTGGCAGTCCTAGAGAATTCTCCGGAGCCTGGGATTAGCTATTACAGTGCCTTAAGTTGTGATTTCGTAGACCCATGACTTAAGCAAAAAAGCAAACTTGGAAAATACACCATCTAAGGGGCTGGAGCTGCAAGCCCTGGATCGGCTGCTGTCGGACATGTACACCACCCACCCTGTCGTGGTAGACCTTGCAGATGTAGGGCACACCGGTGCTAGCCGAAAAAGACTCTATGTGATTATTGCCTCGACTCGCTGCAAACGGCTGGCCGACCCTGTCAAGATGTACGACGTCATCCGATGCAACAACCGGAGAGAACACAGAACACGGCCCCAGGACTATCTGGTGGCCTCCAAATTCGAAGTCCAATGTGAGGCGATGGAGGTTGCACGTGCCCTGCCTGGGAGCTATGTAGGAACAGGGGAGAGGTGGGAGTAGTGGTGTTTGCATGATAGACTCCTAAAAGTGTTGGGTTCATTCAAGGTGTCTGTATTTTATGTGCGAGGGGAGGGTGGGGGGGGGGTTCGTTAGGCCTGCGGCCCCGATTTTGTTTTGAGGTTAAGCGGCAAGGTTAACAAAGTACTAGGAGCTGGGGGTCTCGGTGTACGGATTTGTATGCTGGAGCTTCTTTTTTTTTACGTCTTGGCTGGCTTCCGGGTTAAGTTCACGATAGCTTCTAGGCGAGGCTTGTACTAAGGCTCTAGGGGGGGAGGTCGCTAGTCTAGAGGCTCTGACACATTCACATATTAAGTTGCTGCGGAGCACACGACAGGCACCCGAGGAGTGAAGCATCGTCCCACAGCGACTGACCTGTCCTACCTTCTGACAGAGCACGAGGAGAAAGCGAGGCGACGGCTGGATGCGACATATGTCAAGAAATTTGGCAAGAAACCATCGGATGATCCAAACCTAGTATATTTGCTGGGGAATGACCCACAGTGGACCACCTCTTGGACTGCGGTTTCCGGCCGTCTTCCAGACATCCACGGCAATGTTGCCACCGGCAAATTCTGGTATCCTCATTTCACGAGGTGGCTCACAGACAAAGAGAAGCCTCTTGTCTCATGCTTCCATGATCCTGTGGTCGCTTTGACAAACCCGTTGAGTGTCGATCCCAAGAGTGACATGTTGCCTTCCACATCCGAGGTTGTGTGCCATGACTTTTCCGGTGACTGAAGCTTCCGCATCAGTGCTGGGTGTGCCGGTGTTAGGCACTCGAGATCCGAAGCGGGCCGCACAGCTAGTGGCCGGTGCGAGGTCTTTGCACAATGCTGCCCTGATCCAGATGATTGCACTGGCTTCTTTTGGCCCTCCTTAGCCTTAGCTAGTTGCCAAACAAAAATTAAAGCCAAGCGGAGCTGATTCCTCGAAAAATAGTGATGTTTGCATGTCCATACACCAGTCGTGTCAGTCTCGCTGTGTTGTTGCCGAGCTTGCAAGATTGCCTACAGGCCATGCTGCTTGGCACCCTCGCAGCGAGTTTGAAAGGATCAGTGCTGCACTCCGGCCCATCTAGGACCGTCTGGATCCATGGAGCCTCTGCCTGGAGGAACTCCTCTTCCCAGCTTTGGCGGCTACGGCCATCCGGAGGCACCTGCGGCTGTAGCTGCAGCGACACCAGGAATGCCAACGATGCCTTGCCCGGCATCAATGCCTATGGCTCCGTCAATGACAGCAATGATGCCGCCTGGTGGTACAGCCGGGATGATGCCAGCAAGTGCCCCGGTTGCTGCGATGCCGCACCACATGATGACCGCACCCGTTGGGCCTTCGTCAGCCTCAGCCGTTCCGGGGATGCCGGGGTCTGTGTTTCCCACGAATCCCGCTGGCATGCCTGCTGCTGCATTTCCTGGGGCGGCATCGCAGGTGGCAGTGGAGATCAGTGATCCGGGGAAAACCAGCAAGCGGAGACGTAAGGAGAAACCAGCTGGCTCCAAGACGGTCATTTATGCCTCGACATGGAATGCCGTTGTGGCCGGGCAGCCTAGTGGATAGTGACCTGCAGGGGTGCTTTTGTGTAAGTGAGCTCATCTGGGGCAGTCATTTCCAACTCGCCTACATTTTAATGCAGGACCACATCATGGTGACCTTGCTCAGCAAGTCCGGAGCACCCGAACTCCAAATTATGTGAGCTGGATCCCTTCTGTCCTGTGTGCATTCGCATGCTATGGGTCAACCCTCATGTGTGCTAAGGGCGACTATGCGAACAAGGCCTACCTGGAGACGGTAAGCCTAGAGGTCATGGGTTCCATGGCCTTCTTCTACTGGGGCAAGCACCCCAATCAAAAGCTTACGGCACAGGAGCACCTTGTCTTCACTGAGGTTGGCACGTCGTGTCGTAGGAAAACCAGCTCTGCACTCATAGCTGTTCCTTGCATGCATTCGTATTTGTTGCCTACATGCATGCTAAGGAAAGAGGATGCAGACCAAACCGCAGATGACTTCGTGAAAGAGTACGACAGGCGGGAGAGACCCGGTGAGTATATGACAGGCGAGGTCATACATCTCATTTGCCAGGCCTGGTACCGGGGCCAGGACCCCATGAGAACATGCTTGCTTCGATGCCATAGTCTGGGTTTTGCGAGGTTCTAAGACTGAGTGGTTTAGGTACTCAGCAGGTTACAGCAATAGGGCCACGAACTTCTATGGTATTTAACCTTAAGGTCTGGGCTTGTGGTTCAGGGGTCCAGAGTCTGCTAGCACCAAGCAACAAATGCAGGGGGGTTTGATGTTCCAAAGGCTGAGGGCTAGGGGTTTCTGGAGGCTGTCTTTTTTTTTTTGGTGTGTGAGTCTCGGCCGGGGGTGGGGGGGGGGGAGGCTTTCCATTGCGCCTGACCCTGGTTGCTGTTGTGCAGGACAGCTACAGACTCAACCGCTGCCATGGCAAGTACTACCTGGACAACGGACTCGTGGAGGCCGAGGTGACGAACAGGCTAGTGGATCCGGCGAACACGAAGTACGTCCTTCGTCTGTCCAAGCAGAACTATCGCTGCTACATCGTTGACAGTGCAAGTATCCTGGCAGTCGTCTTGATAGTCTTGCATGTTCCTAGCAGATCCATTCATTCATATTTCAGACACTACACATGTGTAACCCACTGCTTCCTGGCACTGTTCCTAAGGTGCAAGCCGTCTCGCCCCACAAGTGCTGTTCTGCGACACTATCCTTGGCCCTAACATCAACCTGAACCAAATGCCCCAGGAAGTGATGGCACGGGAACACATTTCCGTCCTACTTTCCGTTCGAGCCAGGAGGCATCACTTGCCCGAGTCCGCCGCCGTGGATGCACATCCGGAGCCCGTGCCTGCCCAGAATCACCGGGCTGCAACAGATGCTCCGCCTAGGGTTTCTCCCCCCGGCCCAGTTGCCCCTGCTCCTACCCTCACCACCGGGCCAGGAACTGCTGCAGTTGAGGCTGCCCCTGGTGCACCCACACCTGGAACTCTTGTTGCGATCCCGCCAGCACAAGCACCGGTTCCAACTACTTTGCGAGTCGGAGGGGCTCCCACAGTCATGTTGCCTGGCATGAGCCCTACAGGACCTAATGCTTGTGATATCCCCTCAGATGAAGTTGCTGTAGCTGGGAGTTGCTGTAGCAAGCTTTGCTGCAGGAGCCACAAACTTCGTCGATGGCCTGTGTGCTTGTGGGCTTCCTCGTGCTGCATGTGGCGACTGTGGCCTAGGCTACACACAGAGGCTGAAGCCGACGAAGCCGGAGGGACCCCCTTCTACGACAGCAGCCCCGACCGCCTCGGAATTCGCGGAAGCCCCTAGCTCCAGTGACGAGGAACCAGAGGAGCTCCAGGAACCTTGCTTAGGTTTCGACTTCGGTTGTATTGTGTCTGCGGTTCATAGGAAGTTCTAGGGGTATGGACAGCTTTGGCCACCGGGCTCGATGTGGGCGGGGTTGTGGTGAATCATCTCTGTACATAGCTGTATTGTCAAGCACTGCATAGATCTAGTTTTCCTAAGACTGCCCGGTGTCTATGTCTAGGCAAAGACCCAGGTGCAATGAACACTCCGTCCCTCTTAAAAAAAAAAAAAAGAAAACATCACCCCAACCGCCGCTAGGCATATGTGCTGCGGATGAATGTGCATGGCCAGACTCTTGTCGACAACAGCAACAAGAAGGAGGTCCAGCTCAAGAGGCAGGCCGCCGGTGGAGCAGATGACTGGGTACTCCACCAAGAGCAGCGGGACCTTTGATCGGGCCGGTTATGCTTTCGGCTTTTAGTTGGATGGGGTCTTCTTCGTTTTGTTTGTCGGACTGTTGCTGCCATTCGCATGGTTGCACAACCGTGGAGGGTGTAACACATGCCTAAATGCAGTAGTTTGTCTCGTGCCTCTCTTGCAACACAGGAGACCAGCAAGCACCACGGGGAATGGTTCATCGCTTCGCCCTCGAAGCAGTGCAAATCCATATGGGTCAAGAAGATGTTCGAGGACAGCGGAAGCCTGTGCTCCTGAGCCTATCCTAGATTTCGCCTAGCTACCTTGGGGGGATATCTAGGTAGATAAGGAGTACTTATCTCAGGGCTACCTTTGTTGGTATAGACAGGCCCACGAAACTGTAGCATGTCCTGGGTTCGGGTTCCCTACTTTTCCAGTCCTAGCCTTGTCCTGGTCTTGTTCTGGTCTTGTTGTGGGCCTGGCCTAGCTTATCTTCAGCCTAGCCTAGGCTCCCCCAGGTATTCCCAGCCTAACCCTAGGCTTATCCGAGGCCTATCCTAACTCCCCCAAACTTAGTCACAGCCCACAAAGAGGTTCTAGGCTTATCCTAGGCTTATCCTAGGCTTGTCTTGGCCTTATCCTAGGCTTATCCTAGGCTTATCCTGGGCTTATCCTGGGCTTATCCTGGGATTATCCTGGGCTTATCCTGGGCTTATCCTAGGCTTATCCTAGGC